CGGTCAATTTTTGTCAGGTACTGTTTATATTTAATTTTAAATAAAAATATTTAAATGATTTCTGACCACACGATGCACGATGAACGGATATGATTCATGGATCCCTGGGATTCTCACAAAGAGGATTTGGACGCAATTAAAATCATCAAAATAACCTTTTCCTTATTGTGTCGAAACAGGTTACCCGCGTGTCACTCTCGTGTAAACCTATTAAGGACCTGTTATTAACGGGTTCTTATCGTGTGACTCGATAACGACCCAATAAGTTATCGTGTTGATCCGAAACCTATTATTTTCGTGTCGTTTATGTATCGTGTTAACAGATCGTATAAAAAATTACCAGGTCAAATGTTATTGTCAATTATTAAGACAGTAATTGCCTTTGTCTAATTGATGGTATAATTATTGCCTTAGTAGGGTAAATTTTTTTTTTTGGTTTTTTTTTTTTTTTTTTTTTTGTTTTGAACAAACGAAATTATATACAATAAGGGGTGGGGAAGTGAGCTCATGTTTTATTATGGACTAACAATAATGTGATTCAAATTTTTTTTTTACGAAAATCAAACCTAAAACCTCTTACTTACAAATAAAATGAAATATTATTAGATCGCAGGATAAGAGGCTAGTGGGATGGAGTTTCTCTTAATAATTGTTTTTTTGCCAAATGATAGATTTTATTAGATTAAATGTTAAATTAATTACCGAAGAGGTTCGAACCCATATTATCATTCAAAAGCTCAACACATTTTCATCATTGTGGTAAACAACCACTTTAGGCTAAAAAATTATTTCACCCAATGAATTATGAAATCAGAAGTCGAAAAGTCCACTTTACCCTCATATGCATGGTGTAGAGCACTAAGGCCGTGTTGACATGATTGTCCTTTTCCTCATCGAAAGGTGCTTTTAAACCCCCGATTAGGGTTTTAGAAGCCAAGCGAAGAGTGAGTGAGAACCGCAGACGCACAGGGTGGCCGCGCTCTATCTCTCTCAACCGTCTCAGTCCCTAGGGTTTGCTCGCAGCCGGAATCAAAATTCAAAGGTACTCATTATCTCCTCGACTTCTTCCAGAGCTTCATAATCATTTTTCAAATTTTTCGTATTTCTGCGCTTGTTTCATGTGTTCGTACGACAAATTCCGAAGCTTTTCTGAGTTTCGTATTTCAGTAGCTTTTACATTGCTGAAAATATTAAGGGGTTTGATAGATGCTAAGAGTAATCTGTTTGCATAAACAAGTTGGAAACCTAATCACTGTTGTGGGTTTACTGTTATGATTGAGGGATGCTCTGATTTCATGTAAATTTTAAGCATAAATTTCTTATTTTGTGTTTTAGAAGTTATGGGGTAGGAGATATTGTTCATGTGCTAGCCAAACATGCTGCTGCACCGATAACTATTGTATATTTTATATATTATGTGTATAGGAAAGGTATTATCACTGAGCATGTTTTGTACATCTGTTGGGGTACCTGCTGTTTGTGGTTTGTTGGGTCTTTTTTTTCCGAGAAAAAATTGAGCGATATTTTGTTCTGTCTAATGTGCAGGAAATGGTTTCATCTGATGATGACCGATTGGCCACTGAGGCTGTGGAGAAAGTGACAGATTCAGAGAAGAAGAAGAAGAAGAAACATAGGGACAAGGCCAGCGATTTGGACAAAGACTTCATGATCAAGCCCCAGAGCTCAACTCCCTCCTTGGACACCTCTCAGTGGCCTATCCTTCTTAAAAACTATGACCGCCTCAATGTTCGAACTGGACACTACACTCCTCTACCCTCAGGGTTTTCCCCCCTTAAGAGGCCTCTTGCTGAGTACATCCGATATGGTGTTCTCAATCTTGACAAGCCTGCAAACCCCTCGTCGCACGAGGTTGTTGCTTGGATTAAGCGCATCCTTCGTGTTGAGAAAACTGGCCACAGCGGTACCCTGGATCCTAAGGTTACAGGTAATCTCATTGTCTGCATTGACCGAGCCACACGACTTGTCAAGTCCCAGCAGGGTGCAGGGAAAGAGTATGTTTGTGTTGCCCGCTTGCATTCAGCTGTGCCTGATGTTGCCAAGGTGGCTCGGGCCCTTGAATCCCTGACTGGGGCTGTCTTTCAGAGGCCACCTTTGATATCAGCAGTCAAAAGGCAGCTTAGGATTAGGACCATCTATGAAAGCAAGCTTCTTGAGTATGATGCAGATAAACATTTGGTTGTTTTCTGGATTTCTTGCGAAGCAGGAACCTATGTGCGTACGCTCTGTGTGCATTTGGGTCTGCTTCTTGGTGTGGGAGGTCATATGCAGGAGCTTAGGAGGGTCAGGTCTGGGATCATGGGTGAGAAAGACAACATGGTCACAATGCATGATGTCATGGATGCTCAGTGGGCTTATGACACTAATAGGGATGAGAGTTATTTGAGGAGGGTCATCATGCCTCTTGAGGTTCTCTTGACTAGTTATAAGAGATTGGTTGTCAAGGACTCAGCAGTGAATGCCATTTGCTACGGTGCCAAGTTAATGATTCCAGGGCTGCTCAGGTTTGAGAATGATATCGAGGTTGGAGAGGAAGTTGTGCTGATGACTACCAAAGGAGAAGCCATTGCATTGGGAATTGCTGAGATGACCACTGCTGTGATGGCAACTTGTGATCATGGTGTGGTGGCAAAGATTAAGAGGGTGGTGATGGATCGGGATACTTACCCAAGAAAGTGGGGATTGGGACCGAGGGCGTCCATGAAGAAGAAATTGATTGCCGAAGGAAAATTGGATAAGCATGGGAAGCCCACTGAGAATACTCCGCAAGAATGGATGAGGAATGTGGTTTTGCCTGTTGGTGAGGATTCTATTGTTGCAAGCACTGCTGTGGCAGAGGAGACCACTCTCACAGACAAGGAGAAGAAGGATAAGAAAAAGAAGGACAAACATAAGGATGAAGAGGAAGCTAAGGAGGGGCGTAAGCGCAAACTAGAGGATGCCACAGAGAGCCCTGTTCCAGTTCCTGCGAAGAAAAGCAAAGGCGAAGAAGTTGAACCTGAAGTTGAGAAGTCAGAAAAGAAAAAGAAGAAGAAAAAGGACAAAGAGAATGGCACCGTGGATAATGTTGAAGCTGGTTCACCTGAAGCAGAAAAGTCTGAGAAGAAGAAGAAGAAAAACAAAGACGCTGAGGACAATGGTACTGTGGCTACTGCCGGCGCTGCTGATGGCGAGGCTGATAAGAGTGAGAAAAAGAAGAAAAAGAAAAAGGGTAAAGCAGATGCAGAAGAAGTTTAGAGGACTTAGGATTAGAATCTTTAAGCGGCAGAACTTTTGAATGTATGCCTTTCTTTTATTCCATCTACAATGAGAGTTTCCGTAACTGACACTGGAATTTTCATCTCATATGTGTAATTTTAATCGATTTTCCGCAGTACTAGTTTTTGTGGTTTAGCTTTTCATTGCAGGCTGTTTTTACTTGACCAAGTATTTTCAATTCATCGTTTTACCTGTTTCCTTTGCTTGTTTTCAATTCATCGTTTTCCCTGAAAATGGAAAGTATGAATGAAAATACAGTTGCTATATGGTTTCTGGAGTCTTAACAATTTAGTGAAGTTACTGGTTACAGTTCTCTGCCTTTTCAGAGTGACCCCAACCTAGGCAGCATCACTGACCGAGTCGAGCAAACTCATGGATGCAGGTATGGCTTCAGCTCCTAATTTGGTTTCAGCTTGGTATATTTTCTCTGTTTTTCTGTTGCACTGCTCTTGAAAAGACATTTCGTTAGCGAGAGCGTTACCTTAGAGTTAAAGAAGCTACCGGTAATAGATGAAGCTGATGCGCAATTTGCTACCCTGCTTAAGACTAGTTCAGTAACTTCGAATTGTCAATTCCGTTAGTTTTGGTTGTCCAAACTATGTACAAATTTGCATCATTATCTTCAAGTGATGGATTAATAGTTTGAACGACGGCAGATTAAGGCTCGGAAAGAAAGCCCTCATCCGTGTTTTGGTGATCAGGATTCTTACCAGCCAGACTTAAAAAGTGACGCATTATACAAAGAGTACCAAGATAAGACGATCTTTCCGTTCGTTATTCTACTTACGTTAATCAGTATGTGTTCTCGTTTGTGATTGGTTTTTTATCTTACCATTGCTTTGTATTTGTAACTTTCGAGCAGGTACATCAACCCTTTGAGTATTTTCACTTGTGGAACATTAATTTTGTGGTGATCCTCCCAACTCTTAACTAGTTGCGTTATATGTGTTTTTTGCACTGCAATATGCATCGACTATGCTCTAAAAGATTTAGTACTTAAATTATGATGTTTTATGTAATGATGTTCCGAGAAATTTACGATAGTTTCACCATATTACTAGTAGTTGATGTTGGCGTGAATATCTTATTTGATGAGAGATTTTATATGTTGACTGTATTTTCCTATTATATGAAACTAGGGTTTATGGAGTAATACGAGTTTAAGATTCCTCCCCACATTTGAGAAGAATAATACATCTGAATTATTTCATAAACCGTAAACTCATATTATTCCAAAAACCCTAGTTCCATATTTTAGCATGCTCTCAGAGCAGAGATCCTGGGATTTTTGCTCTACTTCAACACACGTAAACTAAACCCTAAGGATTATGGGAGAGGATCTTCCAACGACCTTACTGACAAGGGAAGCCATTCGATGAGTCCGATGATTTCACAATTTTTCAATGAATCCAATGCCTTGGCCAATTTTTCGTGACTATAAAAGTAGTTCATGTACTGTCCCATCGTCGAACTTGGTGGGAGCCACTGATCATACATGATCTACTGCTATGATCCATGACTCTTCCGTTGAAGACTCTTAACGAGGCTAATCTAATAATATATGCTCCCTTTTTTCAGGAACGATGCAACCATGAAAATACAAAGAAACACAATAAGTTGAAGGCGTAAATTTATGTTTATTATGTCGTACGCATGAAATGGATTCATCACCTTTCAAGTATCAGCCAACACGACCTTGTTTCGATGTGTATCTGGATATCGGGTCGGGTTGATTTTCTTTGCTCCATTAAACAAATAATATTATAACAAGAACAGAGAATTAATTTATAATTACAAAGGCTTACTCAGAAAATAAAAACAATTGACAGATAAATAGCATGGAGAGGAGGAACAGAGGTACAGATGGGCGCAAGAAAAATTTGGCAGTTTACGAACAGCTGAATTCCTATTATCCCAGGGCCACGAATTTTTATAGCGATTCACAATTTCTTCGGTCTTTGCAGCCAAAGGCAGCGCTGCGGGACAAACTGGAAGCTGCATGTCATGTGTAAACGGCAACCAGCTAAGGCATTTCAATCACACGAAAATGCATAAGAAGATCACCCACAGCAAAGCCTGTCATAACTTTGAGTGCTGTCTCCAGGGACATCCGCCTTCAAAAGCCTGCTCTAATACATCTTCCATTCGCTTTGCTAGTATTATCTGTTACGGGAAAATTCACAGATTATGTCGTTGATCATAATCACATATCACGTGTCCAGAAACCAAACACGGTATCTACAGGCAACAGCTGAGTATGCAATAAAAGCAAGCTAACAAGCTATGGAGATAAAAAAAAAAACTTAATAAGCTGGCCTCGATGAATTTTACATCACACACATAATTGAGAAACACCTTGCTGCAAATAAAACCAAAATTACCTCAAGACCAGAAAGAACAGCCGACGGTACATCAGTTAAATCCTTCAGATTCCTCTCTGGAAGAATGACTCTTGTAATACCACAACGGTGGGCTGCCAATACCTGTAGCAATACAGATTCAAATGATCAAACAAAGCCTCTGGCTCATTACTGATGTACCAGAATATTATATGCATTAGCAGAGAATTTTGCTTCAATTTTCTCACCTGTGGCTTGAAGGTTCCTTTAAATATTATACAAGAAAATCGTGCTAAAAGTGTTTTGGGAATGACACAAGTTTCTCGAAATAAGCTTAAAAAGTTTCTCAAAACAACTCTGAAAATGGTGTAAAATGTTGATGATCAAGAAAACCAATGACAGAACAAATGAGAAATAAGCACATTTCAAGAAACCTGTGTTATTCCACTTAGCTAAAATCCCAATCAATTTTCCGTCAAACATCCACTTACCTAGACGACGGTTATACAAAAAGATATTAAAATGGAATGACTATAGTAGTATATAGCCTGGAGATTATAAAAATGACAGTACTAAGAAAAGTGAATCTCTGTGCCAAACAAGTTTGATGTACAGTATAATACTTGTATATGAAAAACAAGGTCACATACAAGGATAATGTTAAATGCCCAACTAGCAAACAATTCAAAACACTTGACAGCAGTAATCGTATAAAAGCATGAATATGACTAGATCTAAAAACCCTTCAGTTCATACAGCATGTGTTATACATGCAGACAGACTTACATAGAGAGTCACGGATTATCATAATTAGATTGGTGCATGAGGTGAGTATACCTTGTCCTTGACACCACCAACAGGTAGTACGAGACCCCTCAATGTCATTTCTCCAGTCATTGCTGTATCTGCTCTTACTCTTCTCTGACAGAACAATGAAACCAGTGCTGTTACCAGAGTCACACCTGCTGAGGGTCCATCCTTCGGTACAGCCCCAGCAGGAAAGTGTATATGAACATCCCGACCCTCCAAAAGATTGGCTGCCTCAGCTGTTGCGAACTTAAGATCTTTTGCCCTACCTCTCACCTGAGACATAAGTAAAATCCTCAGCATCAATCATTATAAGCCAACATTTACAGAGCAGAAATTGTAGCATCATGGTTGATGCATACTGTTTTATATAAATTAAAAAACACTATATACTCTGTGCACATAGGGATATACCAAGTTCAAGGAATACAGATTACAACATTTTTCTATACTAACCAGTCCCAAAAACCGAAGTAAATCTGACGGGATGATTGGGATCTCAACATAAATGTCTGTCAGTAACGAAGCATTCCGATTTTTTTTTTTTTTTGGAATTTTCAGATTTAAGATCCCGGATTTGATTTTGTTGTGCCAAAATGGGAAGCTTTCGGATTGAGTTGGTCAGAATCAGAATTTCCAATCTAACTTGCTTCTATGTTCCTCTTCTTTTTCATTAAAGTACAACTATGATTACCTTACACAATACCTATTTGAAAGATTAAACCCAAATGGCAAGAATAAGTGCAAGTCATGTGACTGAAACAAAATGGATAACAACAGTAAGTTGAGTGCCGTTATTATCTCTTAGTTGTCTTAAAATGGTGCATGAACAATTCAAAATTATGACCATCGAGTCACCACCATTAATGTTTGACTCATCATGAAGAGGAGTATTAATATTTCAGATAAATAAAATTAATTTAGAAGAAACATTTTACCCATGTCAATGCTATTTGTGCTGATTCTTTGATAACATCTCCAAGTTGACCAGTGAGATGCAGTTCACCCTTTCCCCCCATTGCTGTGGCCTCCACAAATTGAACCTCTCCACCAAAAGCAGTCCAAACAAGCCCAACAGAAACACCTGGTGTTGCAACTCGTTCTGCAGCTTCTTTGTCATCAAACCTTGGAGGCTGCATTACAACACAAACAGACAACCTCAGAAACTCTTAAGCAATAATGACAAATCAAGCTGGCATCTCTTGGGGGATATGCGTATGTCAAGCTGAAAAATTAATACATGGTAAAACCAAGATATGTTTATTATAAGAAGTATTCCTTGAGCCCAAAACTCGCTCCGAAAGTATCCTACATATTCATTTACATATAAATTTTGACATTGTAAGACTTGTCAAAATGGCATAGTACCCTGATTGTATCAAATCCATTGACAAGTCAAACTAATCGAGTTTCTAAATTACAAGCAAACACTATGCTAAGTCCAATTATGAAGTAACCTTTCTTAATGATTTTAAAAAGAGAATAATTACCCCTAATACTTTCTCCAGCATATCCTCATCCACAACCAATGGCGAATCAATCTTGAAAGTGCTTGTTATCTCATGCTTATTCACACCCATCGGAATAACCTCCATTTCCACTTCAGCTCCATCAGCAAGTCTGTTTTCGAGTAGTGGTGAAGCAAGCGAGTGCACATCTTTCCTCAGAGGGACAGCTTGTTCTTGCTCTGCAACTTTTACCGCAGCTGCACGAGCCAAGGCAGCTAAGTTTCTCTCCAGATTCCGAACACCAGCCTCCCTAGTGTACCCTTGAATGATAAGTTTCACCATGGCCTACCACAGTAGACAGACAAGTTTCAATATGATATTTTCATAAACCAACATTGATTAGAAATGTAACCGTTGTTTTGTGAGTTGTGACATAAAACTTGATTGGAAACTAGAAAGAGGGTGCCTATTTTCAGATCTAAAGAAAGAAACTATTGGAAACCACAAGTTCAAACACCATTAATACTTGACACAAATCGGAATAAACATACCTCTGGGATTCTAAGAAACTCAGAATTCAACCCATGCTGATCAAGAACTCGGGGAATTAAATGGTGCATGGCTATCTTCAGCTTTTCTTCGGGTGTATATCCAGGCAGCTCAATAACTTCCATCCTGTCCAAGAGTGGTGGGGGAATCGGCTGCACCCTATTTGCAGTTGCCACAAAAATCACCTTTGAAAGGTCGAAGGGAACATTCAAATAGCTATAGGACTTGAATTAAGGAATTGTGTCAATATAGAAACCCTGTTTGCAATGTTATTTGGTAGGGATTTAGGGAAGGCAGCATCCTTCTTTTTCAAAAAAAAATATAAAAAATTATGCCATTTAAAAGTAAGCAGCCATGTAGCAGGCCATTTTGATAGCAACTATATCTGTGTTTTCTGCAAGAGTCGAGTGTAAGATATGCATAGGCCAAACCCAAATCCATACAGCACGAGGACTTTTTCAGATTAACTAAATAAATAATCAGACCTAAATAAGGTATAAAGAACAGGATACTGATCATTGAATGTTTTATTTTGCTCAGGATCAAGAACCTCCAGTAGAGCTGAAGCTGGATCACCGCGCACATCAGAACCTGTCTTGTCAATTTCATCTAGCAGCATGACCGGGTTGGAAACAGCTACTTTCTGATATACATCATAATTGAGAAAAAAATTAGTGCAAGTCCTAGTACATCAATCCTATACTTGGCTGGGTGTGGATATGGATAAGCGGTTTTTGTTGTGTCCAGTAATGACTAAGCCACATACAAAAAGGAGAGAGCACAAAGGAGGCTTCTTCAATTCTGAAATTTGTTTGCCTAAAGGCAGTGATGGTGATCCGATAGACAAACATCATCACTTATCAATTACAAAATACTGTATTTTGTCTTCTTTTTCTTGGCCGGTTCGATACCCTTAGAAGATAGCATTTTGTTATAAGTCGTGACTGACCATCAAAACCATCACCATCCCTTACCAAGCATATGAATATCACACCACAAGTCCATGAAAATGTTTACTTGGACGAAATTATACCTTTAATCCATCAATGAGCCTACCCGGCATGCTTCCAATGTATGTCCTCCTGTGTCCTCGGATATCAGCTTCATCCTTTACACCACCAAGGGATATGCGTATAAATTTTCTGCCCAAAGCAGCAGCAATAGATGATGCCAAAGATGTTTTTCCAACACCAGGCGGGCCAACAAAACACAACACTGGGCCTCTGGCATCTGGTTTGAGCTGCAACACACACATAACCACCATATTAACATCAAATATTTTTAATAAAAAAATAATCAGACAAAAACTAAACAATTAGCCACCTTGCGAACAGCCAGATATTCAATAATCCGCTGTTTGACCTTAGTTAAACCATAGTGATCACTGTCAAGACGTTCTTTTGCAGCCCTTAAATCCAATTCATATTCTTCACTGGCCTTCTGCCAGGGAAGATCAGCAAGAAGCTCTAGGTAAACACGTGAACTATTATATCCAGGTTGTTGGGGCTGCATCTTTTTTAGCCTCCTGAAACATGAGGGGAAAATAAAATAAATAAATGAATGAGATCCCTCTAAACTCTAGAACTTGAAGTACAAGGCTGTGTACTAGAAAACAACAATGAAAGCAACCACTTTTGGACCAACTTAACAAAGTCCCAATTTTTTTTTTTAAATTATATTACCACTGACACCCAAGAATTAGTGGCCCCAGATATTTTGCGTAAAGCTGCATATTTCAAAGTGGCTTCAGATTTTAAAATGCAATAATATACACTGACTGATATCCTCTTCTTTACTGAATACCATAAGAACAATATATTCAAAACAACTTTAACACACCAACATTGGCAATGATGTCAGGATTATATAATACTGGGCACCAATTACATTGTCATCATTCCCTTTTCTCCAAAACCCTTTATGTCAGACACTCTCTGTAAGAGGATGGTAATCATATCTTCCTCGACATGGAAAAAAAAATGCCGAAGTTAAGATTACATCGAAGTTCTAGTAGTAATACCAGTATCTGTAGTACGGAAAATTTTGTTGGAAAAACAAAAGGACAAAACTACTTGCACACAAGAACACAGTAACCCTTGTTCCTTTCTTCTAACCAAATCATACCTCAGCTCTCTCTGTGCGTGCTTCCAGATGTTTGAAGGCATTCCTGAACTTTGCATCTTTCTTTCCAGAGCAACAACATCGTCTTCATCGTCATCATTGTCGCCAAGCTCCTCTTTTATAGCTCTCATCTGCAATACATTTCAAAAGTAGAAAGGAATTGGAACCATCAGCCAACTAAATGATAGAAGAGAACAGTATGCGTCTCCAATTCAGAGGAAGGTTTCTTTAGATATTTCCGAAAACATTCAACATGCGAATCCACCTAGGGTAAGTATTTTCAATATCCATATCCATCAAGGTCCATGATATAAACAGATATAAATACAAAATTAATACATTGCAAACCTAAGAGAAAAAAAGGCACTACCTATAACTAAGTAAAAATTAAAAAGTAAATTTCATCAACTCAAGCAGCCCGACTTTCCATGAACTGCAAAAGATGACTTGTATCCTTTACAACCTTCCCAGGGGTATACACATGAGAAATCAGAAATACCTCTGAATATATTTTTCTTTTTAAAAAATAAAAAATAAAACCTATTTGATAAGAGTCCTCCAGCACTACAACAAATTGTGCCAATCCTAGACATTTTTACATGTGCATAATTAAAGCTAACCTATCAAGTGAAAAATAATTACATTTAGAATCTGTTAAACCTTGAGAAGAAACACACAGTAAATTAGAAAACCATTCCTTCATTCTCACAATTCTTTGATTTTATTTAAAAGATCCCTTGTTAAATTTAAACATCATAAAAATGTGAAGGCGACTATCTTGACAGATAAGCTATTAGGTTGGTTGAGGAAATTATAACTATTAGGCCCCAGCATCACCACAAAACTAGCACATTCACCTTCATTCATAAATGACTAATTTACCAAAAAAAAAAAAAAAAAAAAAGGTTTAATAGTTCCCATAAAGATCAAAATTTTCACAGTAAAATTCTAACCGAATTTCTTATTTGTTCCACCCAAAATTTTCTATGGCACTTCAAACAGAACAAAACGACTGAACGCTACCAAAAGTAAATTTTAAAAAGAATATAAATAATGAGCACAATACTTTTTATCACTCAATAATGAGCATCAATATTTAACTCTCAGAAAATCAAAGCTGATGTGAGAGTGCAAACCTGCTGGCGCAAAAGAAACTCTTTCTGCGATTTTGATAATTGACCCTCAACTTTTTGCGTAATCTTCTCTGCTACATGAATAGACTGTCACAAGGTAACACCAACATGACTGCTTAAAAACTCGAGGAAGTGTAAAGATGATAACAAGTGAACATGCTAAGCATCGGCACCAGTGAATAAACAATTACCTGCAAATGCCTGTCAACTAGCTCAGTAGCTTTGGAAAGTCTTACTTTCAGATCAACTGAATCCAACATACACAGTTGCTCCTCAAAACTTATCTCAAAGCTAGCAACAAATATATCTGCCAACTTGTGAACCGGAACTGTCTCCAGAAGAACTTTTGTTCTTCCTCCGGTCTTTTGTTTCTACAAGCACAAAATGAAAACGAGAGTTACTGATTCAAGTAATACAAGGTGACATAGTGTTTTATCAGCAATATGTAAATATGTATATAGATATCTTATGTCTAACAATATCAATATTTTGCAAGAATCCAAAACATAAAGAAGCCCAGTTAATGCTCAACCAAATCAAGGAATTTCAGGCAAACGATATTCCCTGCAAACCTTAAGCATGAACCACAACAAAAACCGAAAATACCATTTTAAACACAAAGGATTGTTCAACCAAAGGCACGCAGCCTCACAGCTTGAAAAGGAGGTTAAATTTTTTAAGAGAGGGTAATATCATAATAGGTATTAGGGTATATACCATAATATGTATTTGTGTGTCATGCTTTTGTAGTTTCCTATTGATAGTCTGATACATATATGACTTATTATTTTGAAGAAATTTGGCATGATAAGCCTGCACAACTCAAAACTATATAAACAAAATTACACCGAAGTAAAAAAAGGATAAAAAAAAAAGGCAAGACTCTTGGTATCCATGTAATTTTATTCACTGAATATGCAAACATCACAAGTATTACCTGCTCAAGAACAGAAATCAGCTCCGTAGCAGTTGCTTTGAATTGGCGAGATAATGATATGAACTCCGGATCTTGCTCCACTTGCTCCATTTCTCATGAAGATAAGAAAGATAAAACAACTCAACATATTGGTAGATAAGGGCACAAAACTCATCACCTAAGATTCTACATATAATGTGATAATGATAAACTAATCACAATCATAAATCTTAGGGACAACACCTCAAATAAACCACAAGATACACTCAGGTCAACACATTAGAAGAAACGAGGAATCTACATATGTTAAGGATAAAACATTGAAAAAATTGTCGATTGTTTAAAGAGGAAAAACATAGTAACCAATGATATCTAACCAGCTCTAAAAAACTTTCAGAAACACCCCTAGTCATGGAAAACACACTGCTAATGAACTAATGAACCGGGAACAAATACATAAAGAAATGTGATATACGTGGCAGAGGTTACATTAAACAAACACTTAAGATCGGAAGTCTGAAGACAATTACTTGTTACTGAAACAGAAAAGAAAATTCAAACCAAGGAAACAAGAGCTTGAGACCATATGTAGCAAGCCGACCAATAAACCCTAATATCTTCTACCAAAAACAAGCCCACGTACTAAATTGATAACATACCAGACTTTGTCATTTCAAGTGGAGATATTCGTGCAGTATAATATGTTCCCCTTGTGCTAAGTTCCTGGACGTTGAATCTACACAAGCCTTCAAGGACAACTACATATGTAACCCTCCCACTTGGCTTCTCAACTCCTCTTGAGAGATGTAAAGCCCGTGCAGCAACTCCCCTAAGAGTATAAACAAAACTTATTATCAACATAATTACTTTACAAACACAATCACAAAATCACCGAATGGAAAACTTATGAATAAACGAACAGAATTAAGCACCAAAACAGAAAATCAGTTAAATGTAGAATGATCCAGAAAAACGCATAATGGCCCATTCAAGTGCTAAAGGGCAATTAAACTGACTGAAATAAAGACAGTCACAGCACATGACATGATTAGATGGACCACCGCGTTATCTGTAATGTTAATTTGTGGTCCCACAAAATAGAAACACTTTCCAATGAATAACAAAGTAGATTTTGATTCAAGTATACCTTGTATGCCAGTGAATAACTTCCTGCTGATTTTTTCCATCTGGCCTGTGAGAATCGGAAGTACCAACTTGAACTCTAGAGCTTCGTTCACCAGAATCACTGCCCACACCTAAAATTAGGCAAATTCCCAACAAGGCAACAACAGCAACAGCAAAAGAAAACCTCTTAGATTTGATTTTCCAATAACCATAGGCATCCACTCATCTGTATAGAATAGAGAAATAAGCAGAAATCACCTTGAGACAACACAGGGGCCACTGTTGCAGCCTCGGCAGCATCTCGAACGGGAAGAATACCAATTAACCCCTTCTCTTCGCGCTGCCATAACTCTTGCTCCACCAATTTGACACTACGTTAATCAAATTCCCCAATTTTGTCAATTCCATAATCCAGCAATTAGAAATTCACAATTCCACACCCATATAATGATCCATTACATAGAAAAAGGAAAAGGGAAAGTTGGAATTTGAGATTAATACTGGCAAAATTGAAGAACAAAATACGCAACACTTTTGGCAGCAAAGAGTAAACGACGCGGTTTCGGCAACCAAAGAGCATGAAAAGGAGCATAATTTCCAAGCAGGCAGAGTAATTGGAGAGCTATAAGGTTAGAGCTGAGCTCAAACAGCTACAATTCAAGTGCATACAGCAGGAATCAAACAGAAAAAACAAATCGATCAAAAGAGTTAGGCTCAAAGGCACCTGCTGGGGGAAGTGCAGCGAATTCGAATGATGGCGCCGGGTAAGAGGACCTTGTTTCGGAAAGGAAGGATGCCGAGGCGAGTGGGAAGCTCCACCGATTCCGCCATCTTTGCAATTTGCGCACAGAGAGAGAGAGAGAGAGAGGGAGAGAGAGGGAGGGGAAGAAGGAGAAGAAGAAGAAAGGAGAGTCAGAGGAGGTAGAAGAAGAAGGGAAGGTGGTGAATGCAATGTGTGTGGGTTTGGTTTTATTCAGCTTTTTCCTATGTTTGGTTGGAAGATTCTGGTGCGCTCGCTCGCTCTGATTTTTTATTTCTTCGAAACCGCGACGGCTTTGTTTTCACCTTCCTTTTTCTTCGAAAGCGCGACCCTACTTATCTCAAACAACAAAAGATAATCCTAAAACTATGTTGCCCAATAAATTAGGAAATGCACAATATTAGAAATCTTGAAATGTGTTTTTCTTTTATACCTAATTTGTATCCCTACAAATCTAAAACTTTCAAGTTTGTGCCACTTAGTATTAGCCGTCGACTAGTGTTCTTCTTCATTTGTAAGTGAGTTTTAGGTTCGATTCTCATGAAAAACGAATTTGAACCATATTATTATTAAGTCATTATGAAACTTAACTCGCTCTCACACTTCTTAATGTATATAATATCAAATGTTAAAAAGAAAAAGAAAACACTTTCAAGTTTGTCAGACCTGAAAAGACGATTTTGTTCTTCTTTTATATTTGAATATAAAATTAATAAAAATAAATCACGTTGACGTATCAATTAAGCATGTTTGATATATTGATTAAAATTTGATGGTATGATGATTGAATATTGACAAACAGTTCCGAACTTGAGTGGCTTTTGAAAGGTAACATTCTAAGATTATTTTTAAAGGAAAAGTTCAAATGTTCAAATCAACATTAACAGTAAAGAAAAAAGCAACAATAATGTTTTTCATTCGATAAGCCAAATCTGATATGACATGATATAGATTAATATATTTCTCCCTTGCTACCAAAATTAACAGCAACTTGAAACTGTTTTAATTAATTATTAAATGCATTTATTGATTAATTAATGGGAAGGGGAATAGTGTTATGTCTGTTTTGATTTAGACTGGGAATTTATATTAGTTTAAATGGGCAATGACCTTGCAGATGTATCGAATTGCAGCTTCAACACGCATGGCAGCTTCTTCGAATTTGACTGACAAGCCTGCAACACACATCTTGTAGCTTCTTCGTATTTGCAGCTTCAAAACACGTATCTTGCATCAGGTATTTCGTATGACAAGCCTTATGATTATTGAATTGGATTTCTATTTTTTTATACTTTCTGTTAGTGCAAAATTGGCAATTCTTGACAAAATGTCTGAGTCTGTAATAACTTAGACTTGTTAAATATTTTCAATTGTAATTGTTTAAGTCTAAGGATGTCTCTCACACTTCGATGCAAAGATGTTACGTAAACAAGATACTTATTCAGGTACGTTTGCACGCATGCATTCAACTACATTCATTTGTTATCTCATGTTATTGTAGTTAGAATAGGACTCTTGACCATTGTGTGTTTTCTCTTTTAAATGACTTATCCTTTCTATATTAATTATTAAAACACACTTTCAAAGAAACAATCTGATTGCATTGAGACTAATCTGATTGCATTGGAACTTATCGGTTTACATTGGGACTTATCTGTTTGGATGTTGGTAGGAGTCATCTGATTACATGGATTGCATTCTTATCGGTTTGAGTCGGTTAGTGCATTAAGCTTTTATAAGAGTTGTTAAACTCTTGGAAAAAGTGAAGCCGCATATGCATGTTTTTCTTTGATTATAGATTGGCAGCAGCTTTGCGTTTTTAAAAGAAAAAAAATTAACTTTTAAGTGGCTGCCATATTGTGGTTTCTATAGCAATTGTTTTTGAAAGAGAAAATATTATTTTCATGCTAGTTTCATTTGTTTTATTGAATGTCAATTATGAAAATGTGCCGTGTGATTTTCGTACTTGATTGTTTTCCAAACAAACACTTCATCATATAAACACTCTGCATGATCGAGTTAGTGTCTTGCAAAGTTCGAGGAAAAGATGATTGACGATCGTGTTAGTATTGTGCCACTTCAACTCGAAGACTGATGAAAGATCGAGTAGCAAAGCGCCAAGACAAAGCTGCCAACTAGGATGGTTGTCTAGTTGATGAGTTCTTGTAAGTCTTTATGTATTCTTTCTTTCTTAGTGCTTCCTGGCTTGGTAGCCCGAGGATTTTCCCAGTGGTGGGTTTTGCCTCGTTAAATCCTACATCATGTGCGTACTCTTTATATTTATTTTGACTATTTGTGTAGGGATTAGTTTACATAACTGATTAACTTAAACCTTAAATTGCTTTAGTTTTAAGTTGAAATTTAGTTACATTTCTAGGTTAAATTAGTACCCATCCTAGGACTTTCAATTGGCATCAGAGCAGGTCACTAAAAATACCTAGTGAGATCCGTGGGTAGTCTAGGATGAATCGGGCTATGAGTTCAGTTTCTCATCCACCATATTTTGATGGAGACAACTATGCTGCATGGAAGGCAAAGATGAAATCATTTCTCTGGGCGCTTGACGACAGAGTGTGGCTTGCGGTTGAAGAAGGCTGGGAACCTCCAACAGTTAGTGAAACAAAAGGCGAAGGACAATCTTCTGTAACTATTTCTATGCTTAAGCCTAGAAGACAATGGAGTGAAGATGAACGCAGCGTTAGCACATTCAATCAAAGAGCATTGAATGCGTTATTCACTACCGTTTCGCCTGAGCAATTTAACTACATTAGTAAATGCACAACGGCGAAAGAAGCTTGGGATATTCTTGAAGTTACTCATGAAGGTAACTCCACTGTCAAAGAATCCAAGCTTCAAAATCTCATCACGAAATTTGAAAATATCAAAATGCTAGATGATGAGAGTTTTTCTGACTTTTATGCTAAGCTTAGTGTAATTGTAAATGGTTGTCACAATCTTGGTGACAGCATTCCTGAACATAGAGTTGTTAAGAAAATTCTAAGATCTCTCCCTTCAAGGTTTCATGCGAAAAGGACAGTTATAGAAGAATCGAAAGATTTAAGCACTTACAAGTTGGAACAATTGATTGGATCATTACAAACATATGAGTCTGACTTTACCGAAGTCAAGAAAGGAAAAAATGTTGCCTTCAAAGTCAATAATGAAAAAGTGAATGAGGATTCATTTGAAAACCTGACTCAAGATGAATTTGCTCTTCTCACCAAACATGCTAGGAAATTTTTGAAACTTAGAAGTTCCAGGGGACGTGAAAATCGAAACAACTTTGATTCAAACTCCAAATTTCCTCGTTCTCGAGATGTCTCTCATGGAAATTCTTCTAAGTTTGTCAAACTTGGTGAAAAGAAAAGTTCAAATGACAGAGACAAGTGTTTTGAATGTCAAGGGTAAGGACATCATGCTCATGAATGTGCCAATACTCTTAAAAAGCTGAAGGATGAAAAGAACAAGGCGTTAACCTCCACTTGGAGTGACAGTGATTCAGAGAAGGACACGGCATCTGAAGATGATGATGAAGTGGTTGCGTTTGTTGGAATCTTGGATGGATATGAGACTGATGACTCGGTAGTTGAAGAACCTGATTCCGTAGAAGTCGTACAAAAGTATACTGCACTTTATGATATCACCATGAAAGTGACGAAAGAAAATGATGAATTGAAAAATAAACTTGTGCAGCTTGAAAGCGAGAAGAAGGAAGTAGAGATTGAGCATCAATCTCAAATGGAACATGCAGAGAAGCTACGAGAGTCAATGTTGGAAAAACTACATATGCTAGCATCAGACAACGAAATCCTTGAAAATGAATTAAAAGGCATGAAAAAGAAGGTTGAAGAGTTTAGTATTGGATCAAGAAAAATTGACAAAATGTTAAGCTATGGAAAAAATTCAGGTGATAAAAGTGGTTTAGGTTTTGATTTTAATGTGACTGGAAGTTCTTCCTCTTCTGTTACTAAATTTGTCAAAGCTTTACAAGAACCAAGCAGGAAAGAAAGCAGTGATGAACCCTTTGGAAATTTGTGTACCACTACAAATAAGCCAAATTCTGTGAGCACTTTTGTTGATCCAAGAAATTTCATTAGGTCAAAAACCTTTATTCCTACTTGCCACTTATGTGGAAAAATAGGACATATCAGACCTAGATGTAACAAACTTCGAAAGGAAGATCGAACTAAGCACACCACCCATTGGATGTCTAGAAAATCAAATCTCAAAATGAGATTTGTTGCTCATCTGAAGCGAATGAATAGAATTTCAAAAATAATGCTCAATTCCATCACTCCAAACTTAAAACAAGTATGGAGAAGAAAAGAAACTCAAGTTTGCTTATTGGATAAGATGTCATCATCATCTGATGAAGACAATCTTACATGTTTAGTGGCTTTTACTACCCTCTCAACTTGTCAGTCTGATACTTGGTATCTCGACAGTGGTTGCTCGAGGCATATGACTAGAGACAAAAGATGGTTCACAACCTTCACTGAGGATTGTAAAAATGGAGCAGTCACTTTCGGAGATGGAAAAAAAGCAAGGATTATTGGAAAAGGAGAAATCAAAACTCTAGGAATTCCATGCTTAAAAGATGTCATGTTAGTTGATGGACTTAAAGCTAACTTAATTAGCATCAGTCAAATTTGTGATGATGATGATGTTGAAGTATTGTTCAATAAGTTGAAATGTTGTGTGAAAGTTGCTAGTGGGATAGACATTTTTGAAGGAAAAAGGTCTAAAGACAATTGTTATTGTGTGAATGCAAATGAATCACATGTGCCAAATATATGCAACAAAGCAACTGATGATGTTTTGGATTTATGGCATAAAAGATTAGGCCATATGAATTGTAAGGATATGATCAAGCTTTCCAAGAAGGAATATGTGAGAGGTTTACCAATGTTGGCTGGAGAACTTGGAATTTGTGGAGAATGTCAAGTGGGAAAGCAAACAAAGAGTTCACACAAAGTCAACAAACTACATCTCAACCTCACGACCTTTGGAGCTGATGCACATGGACTTGGTTGGACCAGTACAGACCGAAAGTATTGGGGGAAAGAAATATATTCTTGTCTTGGTGGATGATTTCTCACGTTTTACTTGGGTTGCATTCTTGCGTGAGAAATCTGATGCGTTCAAAGCATTTTGTGGCTTGTTGAATAGAATTCAAAATGATAGAGTTGCTTCAAATGATCGTGTGATAAAACTCAGAACCGATCACGGAACTGAATTTGAAAACACATCATTTTCTGAGTTTTGTGATGAAAAAGGAA